CCTCGACTTACACCAATTCATTTAGTGACTGTTTAAAGTTATGATCATTTTCCACAGCATCCCCATGGTCATATGGTCAAAATTCAGACGTTTGGCAACTGACTCACATTTATGACGGTTGCAGGATCCCAGAGTTATGTGATCCCCTTTTATGACCTTCTGGCAAGCCAAGTCAATGGGGAAGCCAGATTCACTTAACAACCATGTTACTCACTTAACAATTGCAGGGATTCACTTAACAACTGTGGCAAGAAAGATCGTAAAATGGGGGAAAATTTACTTAACAAACGTTTCGCTTAGCAACAGAAATGTTGGTCTCCATTGTGGCCGTTAAGTCGAGGACTACCTGCCCTTTCTTGCATCATTGGATTTGTTTCACCCCCTTTTTTTTCTTGCGAGGGGAAAATTTCAACCACAATTCAATGATTTTTATCATTCTTACAAGGCATCCTTCAAGCCGTGCCCAGGCTCCAATGTCTGACTCTGTGCAAAAGCTAAGTGTTCCTCAGGGATCTTAGGAATCTGGTCTGTTGGAATTCTAAATTGGGAAGGGGAGGGGAGGGGGGACCCCTGGCCCTGCTAGCTGAGAATGATGGGGATGGTAGTCCAATTCACCAGGAAGACACCTGGAGGGAGACGGCTGCATCCGAAAGACATTTATTTGGTTCTGTTTTCAGCAGGGGGTTAAAGCCTTTCTGACTGAAAGAGCTCAGCTGCAGAAGCCAGAGGGACTTTTTAGCGCTGTAAATGTCATGATGGTAAGTAAAAATAAAGCAGTCCTGCGGCTCCTAAAAGACCAGATCATTTTAAGACTCCTTAAAGCAGTGCTTTTCAACCGTGGCCACTTGAAGAGGTATGGACTTCAAGTCCCAGAATTCCCCAGCAGCATATTAAAGGACATCCCGCATATGCTGGCTGGGGAATTTTGGGAGCTGAAGTCCACACATATTTGAACTGCCAAGGTTGAGAACATAGCCTAAAGGCTTATTTCCAATGTCCTTTAATTTTCTTTGCATTTTTTTTTTGCTTAGTAAAGTCAAGGGACAAATAAAGGGTTACAAAATCACAATTTTTTTCATCCCTCTTGGGACACTAATTTAACTGATGAGCTTTGCTGCCTGGGATGAAAAGCAGCCATCTCTGTGATCTTTTCAAGTGCTGGACCACACTTTCCATGGGTAGAGCCTGAGGCATTATCCTCTAAGGCACTCTAGATAATCAGTCAATTATAGATATATATTTTATTTAAAAAAAGGCTCACTTATAATTTTACAGAGGGTGCTTTGATGCCCGTGGAAAGACAGGTTAGAACATTTTTCCTAAATAACAGGGATGGCTCCTTGTTCAGAGACACAGTAGCTAAGTGAGCTATAGATAGTTCTTGACTTACAACCATTTGTTTAGTGGCCATTTGAAGTTACAACAGAACTGAAAAAAGTGACTTATGGCTGCTCTTTGTACTTATGACCTCTGCAGCATCCACACCACCAGGTGATCCAAATCCAGGCACTTGGCCAAAGGAATGTATTTACAACGGTTGTGGTATCTCAGGGTTATGTGATCACCATTTGTGACCTTCTCAGCCGGCTTCCGACAAGCAAAGTCAATGGGGGAAGCTGGTTTCACTTAACAACTGTGTGGTTCACTTAACAACCATGGCAAGACAGGTTGCAAAATGGGGCACGACTCACTTAGCAACCGCCATGCTTGACAAGGGATCTTCTGCTCCCAATTATGGTCATAAGCCGAGGACTATCTGGTTCTGTGCAGTAATCGACAATCCACTTGATTGAATCAAGAAGAACCTCTTTTGCTCAGCTCGACAGGCCCTTGGCTTTATCAGCCAAGAATGAACCTTTCTCCAGTTTCATACTTCTGGAGGAGATCAAAGCGGATCTCCTAAGATAGAGGTCCCCAACTTTTTGGACACCAGGGACTGGTTCCATGGAGAGAGGTTTTTCCATAGATCGGAGGGTGGTGGTGGTTTTGTGTGCTGCCTGCATCCCGCGGATGTGTGGCCCGGTTGCTGGCATGCCACAGCCCGGTACCGGTCCACAGACCAGGGGTTGGGGACCCCTGTCCTAAGACACTGTATCAATAGAAATCACAGCTGTCATAGGGACCATCCCATCAGAGATGCGCTACTTCCAGTATTTTATGAACGCTTCTGGAAGTAGAAGTGGAGAAGCGTCTCCGCCCTTGAGCAGATTTCACAAAAGAGCCCCGCAAGTGTATTCATCTTCCTGGGGATGGTGGAGAGGAGAAGGCAGACTGCGAACCGCAGCACATCACATTAGATCTCCTAAAAGAGGATTCAGTTACTTAAGAAGGATAAGAAAAGCTGAGCTCAGGACGTAAAATCCCAGCTGGCGGAGGGGGTAAGTTAGCCGAGTCTTATAAAACCAACCGTAGTTTGCAGTAAGCGCCTGGTGCTTCCCCCCCTTCCCCTCCCAACCCCCCAATTCAGGAATCCCACGGAAATCACCGGCCGGCTGTCCGCAAGCCGCACTGCAAAGCCCCTCGCGTGGGCCGCGACAAGAGTCCCCGGAGATGCAGGGTTGCCCCTAAGAGCAACTCGGGGCATTCCTGGGCAAGCCGTGGGGTGGGGTTGATGGGGATTCCGCTTAGCCAGCAAAGCACGACCGCCAGGGAAACGCCGGTTGGCCCGGTGCCTTGGCCTCTCGTCCGACACGGAGGGTGCACATGCGCTCCCCCTCCACCCCCGACAGCCCTCTGAGACGCGAGCCAGACCAAGCGTGGCCCGCCCACGCCGCGCGTAGCATGGAATCCCCAGCGACGCGTCAGTGGGAAACCCCCTCGGATATTTCCTTGCTTGAGGGTAGAGGCAGCAGCCCGGCGGTTGCCAAACTTTGGACCTCGCCAGAGTTAGGATCTTGGGGGGTAGGTGGGGAGGGATGGGGGTGGGATAAGGATAACTCTCTCCCTCTGCCCCCCAGCCCTTCCCGATCACTGGTTCCCCCTAGGTCTATGGAGGTTCTCAGTCATCCAGATCGCGGTTGTCTCAGAGGTACTTTTTCAAAAGGGAAAAAAAAAAAAAAAGGTTTCAAAAAGTTTTTTTCTTTTTCCAAGGGGGGAAAAATAGTCCAGTTGTCTTTGAAAAAGCACCTTTGAATGAACCTCGGGACCACCTCTGCTTTCACCTCCCCTTTTCTCTCTCCCCCCCCCTCCAGGTTCGCGGGTCCTTTTTCTGTATCTCGTCCTGTCCTAACAGTTGCCAACTGATCAAGAAATAAAAGGGGAAATGCTCCTGTGGCAGCGAGGGTCTTTTCTGACCCTACTAGCAACACTTATACGCAGATTCCCGGAGGCGAGGCGAGGCAGTGTTTTCCAGTCTGCCAACAGCACATAGTTTAATTCTAGCGTTAGGAACCAAGGGGTGAGATATGGAGACCGGTTATTACTAACCAAAAGAAAAGTCAATTTGCTCAATTTCCTGACTTCTACTGAGACAAATGAAGTGTCCCCCTCCCTACATGAGCTCTGCAGAGGCACTAGGAAAAGAAGGGGATAAATTAATAATTTCTGTTTTAAGATGGACGGGAAACAACAATAAGCACATAAATATGATTCATCCTAATCTGAGCCTGGCAGGACAATTGCTTTGCTTCAGGTTCCAATCAAAAACTGGGCAGCTATGACCAACTAATCATTTTAGGCAATGATCACTTAGATTGTGCACTTATGAGAGCATTTACATTTTTGAGCATAGAAGTGTTCTCTCAGGGCATTTAAAAAAATTCTGTAGCAGCATGACATTAAAAAAAAAAGAGCCTGGATCTAAATAACAATTTCTCCTTCTGATTTCTGGAGAGCAGTGGGCTGTGGTTCCAAAATTATTTCTTTGTTCCTTTGGGGCTGACAAGTGCACTGGGCACAGCAATTAATGATGGGCATTGGGATGAGTGCAGGTTGGGAGGCGTGCAGATGACTAGAATCCAAGCTAAGCAACAGCTGGCAGTGGAGAAAAAAAAAATCCACGTTCCTGTTGCCCAAAGCAAAAATCAATGAACCTCTCTGCAGATTGGAGAACTCTATTGCCAGCGTATATTTTTTGGCCCGCTGTTTTGATCTTAAACAAAATTCTCATTTGCAGGAGGTTAGCCTATTCAAACTGCAACGTTCAATGCACTTATGGATAAGTAAATCCAACTGGAACAGAATGGGCTTGGCTCCAGATTATTATATATGTTTGACACTGTGCGGTAGAATTTCACTATCTCCAGGTCAGAGAGAGTGGAAAAAAACCCCTTTTCACCAGATGATTAATATTTGATAGGCTGATATTAAAGGCAGAGGACTGAATCCATTAAAAAGATATTTCAGCCTTGGATGAAATTCCTTTAGACCTGTCTTTGGAGGCCAGGAGTTGCTTTAGGAAAAATAAAATTGGAATATCATATAAAACCCCAAAGGCATTTGACCAAGATGTATGTTTAGCAACTCTCTTCTCTGCTCTCCATCACAATTTTGTGAAAGCATTCCGTGGGAGACTTCTTGTAATCTGCCTGTAGACCAGGATCCACTAGTGCAATGTTTTTCAAACCTGGCAACTTTAGAGAGGACTTCAACTCCCAGAATTCTCCAGCCAGCATATTGCTTGGGGAATTTTGGGAATCGAAGTCTGCACATCTTAAAGTTGCCAAGTTTGAAAAACACTGCACTAGTGATTCAAACCAAATGCTCATGATAATGACTTTTTCTTCTACAAACAGGCCTAAAGTTGAGCTAAAAGGACTCTTGGCTGATGCTAGACAAATCTGTTTGTATTGCAGCTGCACCCAGACAGAAACACCACCAGGAAATAAAACAAAACAACTACATAACTACAGAGAGAACTTTAGCTGCAGCTCAGAAAGAGACTGAATTCTTTCTCTGCTCCATTCTAATGGAGAACCAGACATTTCCATCTCTTAGGACAGCCAACAGTTGCATACGAATCCAGCAAGGCATTTTGGGGAAAACCAACATCTTTTGCCTACCTTTCTGAAATCTCATTCCCATCTCTAGCCCTCGTGGGGCACCAGAGTTGTTGCTGTTCTCCGCCACCTTCCTCCACGGCGTCTTAAGTCAGTGTGCTGTTCTGACAAAAGCACGCTTGAATTTTATCAGGAGGAAGCCGAGCGGTCGTTTATACCAGAGAGAGGAAGTACTTGTACAACCCTTTGGGAAGACCCATGCCCCTCCCACTACTAATCAGCTACTTGGAACCGTAGACTGCAGAGCAGGTGAATCACCAAAGCATCTTTGGCACAGATGCAATACTGTGCATGGGTCGGTGGGGAATTAAAAGTCCAGCTTCCAGAATTTCAAAACAAGTTGCTTCATTTCAGTTTGTAGTTTTGAGGTGAGTAAAGTCAAGGTTTGTATTCTGAGAAGAATCTCACCGGTATGGATTCTACTGGTTGGAGGTGATGCGATTAGTCATAACGTAACTGGAGGACACTGGGTGGAGGCAGAAGTAGTAGCAGTGATAAATCATGATTAAAGCAGGAGATCTGCTTCTCCTTGTAAGGATGCTATGCCAGAGTGTCTCTCTTGCTTCCAAATTGCTCTATTAAATATTTCCCAATGCACAGAGATCTTCAACCATCTTCTAACTTAACAGTTTTCAAACTTTTTTTTCTCCTGTGGGGAAAATAAACTTAGGGTCTCATGGGATTCTTCTCTTCCAAATGTCTTTGTTGGATATTTTGTTCACAAGCACAGGAGATTTTAAACCATTTTCCCGCTCAACAGCTTTCCCATCTTTTTCCTCCTGGGAGGAAATAAACTGGGGAGTCGCTTTAGACTCCTTTCCAAATGGTCCAGTTGGATATTTTGTTTGCATGGACAAGCCGTTCTGAGCCTTGTTCTACTTCAACAGCTGTGAAACTTTCTTCCACAGTGGGGAAAATAAACCAAAGGTTGTCTTGGAGTATTCAGTCAGCTTCTTTGCTGTTCCATAAATGAGTAAAAAAAGAATGGTGGGAATAATACCTTATGCTAAAACAATGGCTGGGTCCTACAGCCTTTTCTTATATTAAGAATGGCTGGGAGACTCACTAGAGTCTAGACCTAATTCTTTATGGTTAGAGTACAGGTAATCCTCAACTTTAGTAATCATTCAAAGTTACAACAGCACTGTAAAAAGTGACCTATGCTCATTTTTCATACTTATGACCATTGCAGTATCTCACTGGTCACATGATCAAAATTCAGATGCTTGGCAACTGGCTCATATTTATGACAGTTGCATAGGATCAACTTTTGCAACCTTCTGGCAAGCCACATCAATGGGGAACCCAGATTCACTTAACAACTAACTTAGCAACTGCAGCAACTGACTTAATAATTATGGCAAGAAAGGTCGTAAAATGGGGCAAAACTCACTTAACAACTCAACAATGGAAATTTTGGGCTCAGTTGTGGTCATACGTTGAGGACTACCTGTGCTTATAAAAAGAATGCCTATGGAGAAGCAATTCAAAAACAGCAGTTGAAAGAAAAATCTTCATCGGGGTCCAGTCCAAGCTGGGAATAAACAAACACGGAGACTGCTTTAGAAAGAAGGTTGCAGTTTATTGAAGAGAGCCAGACAGAAAAATGGCTCTGGAAAAGACTGACCAGATGGAGCAGAGTGGTTTTTTATACCTTCTTGGACTTTTTTTGGGAGTTGTTCCTGTGACATGAACTTTGACCTGAGTCTGAGTGTGCCTTTCTGGTATTCTGATGGTGGTGGGTTAATCCTATTATGTCCCAAAAATCATATCCTGCTTCCCTGGGGTTGTGGCTGATGACTGTTGGATTTTTTTTGGTGTGAGGGATTGTTGATTCTAGGGATCTTTGTCTTTCTAATCCCAGCCTTCTGACTCTAATCTTTCTGACAAGATTATCACATCTGCATTTCTGCAGACCTGGTTTTTGTTTGGGGCAGAGAGACTTGGGGAGAGGGTTCTGCCTTTAAGATCCTTTGGGGAAATATAATATTCTGCCTTTTAATATTCCCAATAATATTTCTTTCTCGGGGGGGGGGTGTTACTTCCCACGCAGCATATGGGATCCTGGTTAATTTGTTAGATTATGACTGGGGAGACTAAGGTTCAAGTCCAACCTCAGCTATGAAAGTTGGCTGTTTATCTCTCATAGCTCCTGAAGTGATTACCCTGGGGAAAAAGTAGACAAGGGGGTATTGTGTACATTTCTCTGATCTCCTGGAGGAAAAGAGATCTAACAAATTAACCCGTGACCTTTTAGCAAACTTTCTGCTCCTGGATGTGAAGCTGCCTTTGGGGCAACAAGGAGAACAAACCCGAGCAAAGTTATAGGACACAAAGCAACTCTTGCTAAATTAACTCTAGGCTCTCTTTTTGAACGTCTGTATTCCTTAATAGTCTGGGACTAAATCGGTTGGCAGATATTTTGACTAAGTGTAAAGTCTATAGATGGATTCATGAAAGGGTTGACAAAAGACATTTGTTGAGCTCGTACAGCATGTAATCTCAACAAAGAGAACCTGTGATGGCTTATCAGAAGGTCTTAGTTTAGTCATGCTTTGATGATGGCTGAAATATCAGAACACACTCGAATAATAAATCCCTCAACCCCGTTTTAGCCTAGCCTGGCATGTGGTAGAAACCCAGCCTAATGTATTTCATTTTAATAATATTTATTTCCTCCTCTTGAGCAGAGATATCAGCTAGAAACCTAGAGCTGTTTTTATGAAATGGCTTTTCTTCTCAGGAAACAGAACATCAAGAACAAATGAAACACAGACGTTTCCAACTATTCCGTACCATTTAATGTTACTCCTAATGGAACCGATGAATTACAGTTCGAACCACTCTAATCTTATTTTAGGCTGCAAGAGCTGAGCTGTAAAAGTTTAGATGTGCATTGGGGAAGGTTAAGTGATATTTGCTGTCCTCTGCCAATCTACCTGGGGCTTTGTAGCCCTGACAAAATTTTGGTACCCTTATTTATTTGTGGGAGCACCTCTGGACCTGACAAAGACCTCACTGGGAGGGTGGCCAACATCCTTGGGAATATTCAACTTCCGCTGAATGGATGCTTATGACTGGACAATATTAGGAAAGCCTCCCAAAGTCCTCTAATGAGGAGGAAGAGAAGGGAGGAAGAAATTGTGACTCCAAGATGAGGACCTAAGGGAGGCTAAAGAATCTCAGCCACCTGTTGTGGATGATCTGGAGGTAAAAGCAAGTGGAGAAGAACAGGATCTGAGCCTCTCTGGGCTTAAGAAAAGATAGCTATAAGGCTCAAAGAACTACATCACAGCAAATGGCCCAATGAAAGAGTTAGCAGGAGCAGAATTCCATTAGCAGTTTGAGCTGAGATCTTCCAACTTTGCAAGAATCTGAGTCGGTTACCGGGACCAGAGATTTAGTCTTCCGAGCTTTTGGACTCATGCTGGAGCCCGTCTCAGGGAACTTCTCTCTACTGGAATATGTGCTTTGGGCTGTTCTGTGAATTGTACTTATGTGTGTCTTCCTATTGGTTGACTGGTGTGTTGATGGCCGGTGATTGGCTGGTGTTTCCTTGTGCTCCCAAGCCCTCAGCTCCTAAGCACCTGATAAGCTGGTGGCAAATCAGTCAAATCCTGTTGACTGACAAGGGGCCTGTTTCCCAGGCTTCAATCATTTCCATGGCTATCTTTGTACCTGCTCGGCCAACAATCTTAGTAGCTGCAAATTGAATGTATATCCTTGTTCATTGCAATGTGCAAAATCTTCCAACTTTTCTCATTATTTTTATCCTGAAGGAACCCTTGAAATAGTTTTCAAATCTTAGGGAACCCTTGCAAAAAATGTGTTTACAGTTCATGGTACATCAGTAAATTGCAGATGTAATAATTCAGTAATAATTGTCGGTGTTCTTTTGATTAGCGAATATTTCATATTCTTATTTCTCTGTGGATCGGTTTGTTTATTAACCTATCTTTAACCTATTCTTTTTGAAGAATACCTAAACATTTCTACCGTGGTGAGCACTACCATTGTGTGGTGCATGAAGATTAAATACTGATGGTGGGGGGCTTTTTTCTGAAGATCTTTGTTTGAAGATGTGGGCAGGTTTTGAAGAACTTTTTTCTCAGAGACTTCCTGCCCACAGATATAGCCTGGATCCTACTAAGAAAGATTTTGGGATCCCTCTCACTCAGAAATATACCTGGTAGGTAAAATTGTGTTGAATGGGAAATATTTCTTCCAACAATAAAAACATCAAATTGGCAGTGTACAGGCCGTCCATGTCTTACAACAGCGCATTTAGTGACTGTTCAAAGTTGCAACAGCACTGAAAAAAATGACTGATGTCCTTTTCTCACCCTTATGACCGATGCAGCATCCCCCTGGTCACGTGATCCAAATTCTGACACTTGGCAACTGACTCATATTTATGACGGTTTCAATGTCCCGGGGTCAAGTGATCCCCTTTTGTGACCTTCTGACAAGCAAAGTCAATGGGAAGCCAGATTCACTTAAGAAGCATGTGACTAACTTAACAACTTCAGTGATTCACTTAACAACTGTGGCAAGAAAGGTCATAAAATGGGGTAAAATTTGCTTAGCAACTGTCTCACTTAGCAACAGAAATTTTGGGCTTAATTGTGGTCATAAGTTGAGGACTACCTGTATGTATATTTTTTCCCCTTGCATTGAATATTTTCCCAAGTGATTGGAAAACTAAATGGCAAATCTTGAAATCTGGCAGATCTTGAAATCCAGTTAGCATTTTAAGGTCAACCGGGTGGAGATAAAAGCTGCCATCGTTGTATTAATGGCTTCTGTGGAAATGAAAGCTTTGCTTAATCCAGCATTCACCTTTGCAACATATGAAGGTCCACCAAAAATGTTTTTAAGGCTTTCTAATGCGTTGCTTCTCACAAGGAACAGCGTTCTCTTTTATCTGCCCTAGAGAACAGCTTAGCAAATGTCACAACTGGAGACTGAAAAAAGCAGTCATTAAAAAAAACAAAAAAGACTGCAGGAATATTCTGGGGGCAGTCACAATGAATAAATTCTACAAAGCACAGTCTTGAAGTTGGCACTCAGTGAAGTTAGCGGGAGCTGACAGACCCATGCCCATAAGGGGGCAAAAACGTTTATTTACAGTATTTGTTTTTTTTTAAATCCT